GCTGTGAACCTAGAGAATATCACACTAAGTATAACACACCAAACAGAGGGACAAATACCACATGGTCTTATTAAATGGAGATTCTTCAGCAAAGTTGATTTCATAGAAAAAGATAATAGAACAATGGTGACAGAGACTGGAGGAAGGAGAGGAAGGGAATGAGTAGCTGCTGGTCAGCTGTACTGCTCCATATGTGGGCAGCAGCATCATTCTACGGGCTGGTGTCTGGGGCCAAATCCCAGAATTCCTCCTTCCCTGCTTCCTGACCAGGGACACAATGTGACTAGCTGCCTCACATCCCCACTGGCATTTCCCCTCCTCAGTAAATCTTCTCCCTTCAATTATGAAACCCAAATAAACATCCCCTCCACTTCTGGCCAGGTGTTTTGTCAAAGCAATGAGAGCCACCTACTACATGAGGAAACTTTGAGTTTTGTTCAATAAGTTGATTCAAGTTAAAAGAAAATTTCCAAATATCTGACTACCAAAACAAAATGATGGAATGGCTACATGATTTAATAATTCTATACTATATTCATTTATCAGTTGAGCCACATAAGTATGTAATTTGTTCACTATTGTATGAACTGAAGGTATCTGCAGGGTTTGTTCCTTCTGGAAGCTTCCGGGGAGAGCCCACTTCCATTTTGCAGCTTTGAGAGGTTGCCTTCCCTCCTCAGTTCATGACCCTTTCCTCACACAACTGCTCTCTTGCTTACGTCATCACACTTCCTGCCACTAGCTCTGGTTTCCCTGCCTATTGTAAAGGGACCCTTGGGGTCACACTGGGTCCACTCAGAGAACCCAGGATAATCTTCCCGTTTTATGGTATTATATCACATCTGCCAAGTCTCCTATGATGCAGTTATACACTCACAGGTACTGGAAATTAAGATGCGCAGAGCCTTGAAGAACATTATTCAGCTTTACATAGCTGGCCACACACATAGCTCTGTACATGTGCAGGACTTTTTATGGGAAATTCATTTTGAAAATCATTTAAAATCAGAGAATTCTGAAATGTACATTCTGTTTTAATTTTTAAACATTTTTAAAATTATGTGTGTGGGGGGAGAGGGAGAGAGGGAGGGAGGGAGAGAGAATGAATGAATGAATGAATGAATGAATTTGTATGTAGGTGCCCTCAGAGGCCAGAAGAGGGCATCAGTTCCCCTGGAGTTGGAGTTAGAGGTGGTTGCATACCACCAACATAGGTGCCAGGAGCCAAATTCTGGTCCTCCAGAAAACTAGCTCTGCCCCACTGAGCCATTGCCTAGGTCCCATAGAGTGAAGTTATTATTGAGGGACTATCTCAGTCAGTTGAAAGACGTAAAATTCAGGTCGTTAGAGAGAAGTCCACTGGAACCAAAACAAAAGGCCTAGAGCCCTGTCTCTGGGTAACACTTGGTTCAAAACCACTAGTATGACACTGTTAGATTCTTCAAAAGGGGGGACTGTCAAGGTGGCAGTCAGCAGGTGAAGTTCTTGCTATGCTGCATGCGCTCCTTGTGGTACTCACGCGCTTTCTCTCTCTCTCTCTCTCTCTCTCTCTCTCTCTCTCTCTCTCTCACACACACACACACACACACACACACAATAATAAAGTTCTGCAATATTTTAAAGGCATAATTCAGTAATTTAAATGGCTAAAAGAACAGTTGCTAGGAACAAACAGGAAATCTGAGAAAAGTAGCAAGCCTTGAAAGGTGCTGGGGACGCTATTCCTAAAGAGATGTGAGCAGAAGCCTGGTAAGTCTAATAGCCCAAAGCAAGGACAACTGCTGACGTCCACCTTGGTGAACTGATGGGTTTACTGGGGTTACTTAGAAAAGTATGGGTGAGGGGTGACTTACATAAGAAATGACTCAAGGACCGCTGCATCACCAAAGACCACCCAGCACGGGTGACAGTTCACCAAAGTTGGAGACCTGAAGCCCACTGCACAACATGCAGGCAGGCAGCTCAGTGGGACAGTGACTTTTCCAGGCAGTGCAGCTGGTCTCTGCTTCTTCCAGGGTACTTCTCCCACCTACCTCCTCTAGGAACCTGGGCTAGCCTCAGAGTGTCTCTCAGCAGCCCTTCCTGCTTATATAAGCTTAGGGAGGGAGGGCCCTAGTGCATTTCGTCAACTTCAGGTACTTCTTGAAGCTTTTGGGTTGTCTACTTCCTGCTTCTTAAGTAGCCTTTCTTTAGAACATCTGGGGTCTCTCTTTTTTTTTTTTTTAAGATTTACTTTTATTTTACATGTATGGGTATTCTGATTGCATATATGTCTGTGCACCACGTATATGACTGCCTCTGCTGTCTGCAGAGGTCAGAGAATTCTGAAATGTACATTCTGCTTTAATTTTTAAACATTTTTAAAATTATGTGGGGGGGGGAGAGGGAGAGATCATGGATCTCATGGTACTGGAGGCACAGATGGTTGTGTCAGCATAGGGGTGCTGAAAATCAAACCCATGTCCTCTTGAAAAACAAGTGCTCTTAACCTTTGAACTATCTTTGCAGCCCATCTCTGGAATTTTAAAAATCTTCCAAGCAGGATGCAATGTTTTACCTTCCTTTAGAATATTGTGAGGCTTAATGAGTTTCCCTCAAGGAGGGAGTGTTGTATTTTAGAGGAAACTACAATACACTTAAAAAGCTATTGAGGAAATAGGAACATATAATACAGAAATACTAAAAAGCACAGATAATTTTACTTTTCATAATAGGTGAGAAATGAGTAACATTCCCTAGCCTAACGACTGTGCACACAGTACTCTATGTGACACCAGAGATCACACTCTCCCTGCATGAACACAGGACAGAGACCATATGAACCAGCGAGAAGAGGAACCTCACAGCAGCTAGATTTGGACATCAAGCCTCTGTCAGAGTGAGGACCTTCATTCCTGTTGTTTAAGTCACCCCATCTGTGGTTTTTGCTAGGGGAACTCGGCCGACAGGAACTTTAGGTCTTTAGGTAGAGATTTCTAATATCATGAGACTATGATAAAAATGATCTCTTCTCCAGAAAACATGTGTGGTTTTAGGGTTAGGACGGATACTCGTCAATCATCTGACAAATATTGAAGCTCAGCGTTAGGGGGGCGGGGTTTGTATGTGCCAGCGTGTCTCTGTGTGTGTGTGTGTGTGTGTGTGTGTGTGTATGTGTGTGTGTGTGTGTGTGTGTGTGTGTGTGTAGATATTAGGAGGGGTATGAAGAACTGACAACACATGAACTTGTCCGAAATATCACAACATAACTTTTTCACATGTGTATGCTGGATGTGTTGGTACACATACATGAGGAAGTTGGTGGTTGACATCAGCTGCCTTTCTTAATTGCTCTTCACCTTATTATATTGATTTATTTATTTTGATGGATAACGGAGCTCACTGGTTTGGCTAGGCTGGCTGGCCAAAAAGCCCCAGGTCTCCAGCACCACGATTGCAGGTGCATGTTGTAGCACCCAACCATGAACTCAGGTCTTCAAAGTTATGTAGCCAGCACTTCACCAAGGGAGCCATCTTCCCAGTCCCTACTTTAACTTAAGAAAAAAAAAAAAAACTTACTATTCTTGAGAAATTCTACTTCATCATTGCTGTGAGGCATATATTTTAGAGTTTTTCAATCTCAGTACACTGACATTGTCGAACAGGTCATTTTTCAGTGGGGAACTGTCTTCCGGTCTCTACTCTCTACTAGGTGCTAGCAGTAATAGGGGTTTGTAGTAGTACCACATCCTGCCCGTTGTGACAACCAAAGATGTCTCCAGGGATTGCTAAACATCATAGAGTGAAATAGTCGCACAGGACTTTCTGCTCCAAGCCCTGTAAAGCAAATACAACCACTGCAAATGACCAGGGCGGAATCAGGATAGTGCACGCCAGTAGGAGTATAAGGAAGCTGGGTACACCAGCATGTAAAACATGGCATACAGATGTAGGTGAGGAAATCATACTCAACTACAATATGGCAGAAAGTTTTCATGGAAAAGACGTTCAACATGATTAAACCACTGGAATCAGACCATTTTTTTTTATTTTTGGTATTTTGTTTGTTTTGTTTTTAAGAAAAGTTCTCATTGTGCAGCCCATACTGCCCTCTAACTCTTGACATTCTCACCTCTGCCTCCTGAATGCTGAAATTACAGGAATGCACCACAATCAAATGGTCAGGCATTTAAAAAATATACTTAAGAAAATTTTACATAATCTATTTTAAATTTTTATTTTCTATTCCCCTTAAAATATAAGTTATTTTGGGAGCTATATAGATAGAGAGAACGGGGAGAAAAGCAAAGGATGTGTGAGAAAATCTTTCCTAAATGGAATTTCCTTAACTTGATGCTAGAAAGAACACCGTATTCCCACAGAAAAGGAAGGTGGAGCCAGACCTCGGCACACAGTAGCTTTCCTTCACGTCTGGACTGAACCACGTTATTAGTAAGTGCCTACTATCTCGAAGGCACCGTCTTGGACACACAACAGGCGCAGTCCTTGGTGCTAGGAATACAACAGTGACTAAAGCTTCTGAAAATGTCTACCCTCCTGGCACTTACATTTTCATGGAGGCAGAAATATAATATAAAAACAGGTATAAAATATGGAACAGAGCCTGTGGTGTTAAGTGCTATATACAGAGAAAAACTGAAGCAGAAAAAGGGGTCTGATCGTCTGAACGAAAGACTCCCATTCCACCCAGCAGAGATGGGATCCTTAGGACCCCCCATCTTGGTAAACACCTTTCTTGCACCGATGCAGTCAACGGATCCAATTTCTTGGTGCTCAGACTCTCTCCAAGCTAGCTTGGAGCCCTGGGTCACTGCCGACTTAAATACCCAGAGCTCCCATCACCAGCTCCCATTTTTGAAGAAAGGGAGTCCTATCACACGGCGCGAGGAAGCGGCGGCCCGAGCTTCCACTGAGGCCCGACCCCAGCGCCGCACGGTCCGGGCTCTAAGTGCCATCAAACGCCAGGCTCGCCCGAGCAAGGCCCGAGCCTCCGCCGTTACCTGTTGCGGCGTCGGCGCCGCTCCCACGCCGGTCCCCGCAGGCGCGCCCGCCCCCGCCACCGCCCCGGCAACCGCCGTGGCCGCCGCCGCCACCACCACGGTCGTCAGGGCCGCCATGTTTGCTCGCCGAGACTCCCGCGCCTGTGCGCGGGTTCGGCTCCAGTGGGCGCTCACCCACGCTCCGCGGACGGCTCCGAACCGCTGGACCACTAGGGCGGAGCGCGGAGCCGACCCCGCCTAGCCGGAGGGGTGTGGCTTGTCGGGGGCGTGGCTTGACGGGGAGGGCAGCTCGAGGGCGTGGCTTGTTAGGGCGTGGCTTTGTGGGGCGGGCAACGAGGGCGTAGCTTAGCGGGGCGTGGCTGTGTATGGGGCGGGCAGGACAGGCTTAAAGGCGGAGCTCGGAAGGGGCGGGGCCAACGCCGGTCGTGGGTTGAAGATGAGGATGCTGGACCCGATTTAGGGGGGCATGGTGGACTTGGCATGGTGTGGCGCAGAGCGCCTCTATTCAGTTTTGTATTATATGAGCTTTATTAGCACTGGTGCCTATTCTGTTCGCCCACACCCATAGCTGTTGAGAAATGTATCATCTTCCTTTAAATTGTATTCGTGTTATACGAACATATGTGTTTTTCATACGATAGTACTGTTTTCTATGTCCGTAAGTGCCGGTGAAACTTACTGAAGGATAAAGCATATCTTTGAATTCTAGGGATACATGTTATTCTATATTTTCATAGAAAGACCATTCTGCGCAGAAGCAGGTATCAGAGCCAGGAACACCATAACTGCTTCCTAGGACTTATTTCTAAGATAAAAGATTCCTAAGACTTTGTGTAGAAAGTTGAGAAAAATGGATCTTCTCAGAAGCAACCAGTGGCAATGGACCTAATGTCTATACATTCTTCTGCTCCTCATTTAAGTGAATGCATTCGCCGTTCTAGCTCCTGCTGTAGCTCCTCCCAGGAGAAATTCTAGATCTGGGGAATTCTTCGTTGAGTTCCACTGGCAAGAGTCTTCCTCTCACGTCTTTCTCGGAGGGAATATAAACAAGTAAACAAGCGCTGCATTTAAGTATAAGCACCTTGGCAACCCTAGTGGGGGTGCTTTCCTATGCATTTCTGTTTCATCGCCACAAATAGCTAGGTTTAGCTATAGAGTGCAAGTTTCGTCTCCATTTCAAGGATGAAGTTAAGGAAGATTAGTCAGCCTAGGAAGAGACCAGGATACAAACTCGGGCTCCTGACTCCAGAAAATATAGGAGGAACCTATAACAGGTAAGACGCCTGTGCATCTCCAAAGGTGTGGATTTGGCCTTCATCTATATTGCAAAGAAGATTATTACATACAAAGATTATTTTGAATAAGGTTTGACAAAATTTCTGCGAAGGACATTGCTGATGACTGGGTCTAGAACCTTCTAAGTCAGCAGCTGCAGACAGAAAACTAAGCCTAGGGACAAAGGAAATTGTTTCGTTTGGGGCGTTTATAGAAGGAGGTGTATATCAGCCCTTAGAGCTGCTGCCTGGCAGTCTAGTAACGAGAGGGACATAACAGTTCAGTTTGTCAAAAAGGAGGTTGTGGGCCATCATGATGAAAGCAGAGCCAATGGGTGGTGGAGAACAAAGCCTGCTTGAGTCAGTTGAAGATTTAGGAGGACAGGTGATCTCAGTGTTGAGGTGGTAGCCATAAGAGAGACTTTGTTGTTTGTTTGTTTTAGTCAGAACTAGTAGAGAGCATTTACATACTGCTGTAAATGACCCAATAAAGAGCAGAAATTTGATGCTGCAGAAAAGAACAGCAACCCACACCATGGGAAAGAATGGAGCCCAGGAACACGCAAGGTTTGCTCATAGACCCATGCTTGGCTAGTTTCTACGTATAACCCAGGACCACCTGCCCAGGGAATAGTACTGCCCACAGTAACTGGGGTCTCCTACATTAATTAAAAGTCAAGAATTCCCCTCAGACGTGCCCACAGACCAGTCTGATGTGGACACTTCCTCTCTCAGATGACCCTAGGCTGTATCAAGTTGACAAAGCTACCAAGGACACATCTTTGGCATGTATTGTAATTCTGTGACCATACCACTTAATAATTCCATCCTAGATTATAAACATGAGTCCATTGCTTCCAAAGGAGTTTCGGACAGTAATCTGAGAGTTATTGATTTTACAGTTAGCTAGAACAATAAGCCCAAATACCATCTACATAATTAAATATACAGAAAACTGCTCAGAGATGTCAGCTCCTAGGTAAAACAAAAGAAAACTCCTTTCCACTAAAATATTCTTGTCTGAGAATTTTAAATCGAAGCCACATCCTCTTTATAAATGCACAAGAATTTGCACACTGAGAAAATGATATCCATGTTTGGTGGTGGAAGCCAGTAATCACTCTAGTTAACATACTGAGGCAGATGGATTATGAATTCCAAGACAACTTGGGCTAATATACCAAGACTTGTTTAAAGAAAAAGCAAAAACAGAAAGGGCAAGGTGTTAGGAAAGACCAGCAATGTTGGAAAGTTTTCAAGTGTAATATAGTAATGTAAAAAACTGGACAGGCTATCCTCTGAGCAGCTATGGCTTATCTCCCCTCCTCTCCTTTCTCCTTCCCTTCCTCTTTCTGAAAGTCATCTTAATTTCTTTCTCTACTCCCTTTCTCTCCTTTCCTTGTTTCCTGTGTCTGTTGTTCCATCTCCTACTTCTACAAGATTGACTCACGGGTTTCTATTACATAAGTGAGAACATACGTCATTTGTCTTTCTGTGTCTGGCATGTTTCACTCAGCATATTGTTTCCCAGTTCCATCCATGTTGGTCCAAATTACAGGATTTCATTCTTTTATATGATGAGGAGTAATAATCCCATTCTATAAATATACCTTCCTTTGTTTCTCCATCCATCCACTGAAGGGCATCTAGATTGGTTCTGGCTAATGTGGATGCTGCCGCGGGTGCAAGTATCTGTTGTTAAAAAAAGACTGTTTTCTTTGGATATGAATCTAGTAGTATTCACTATGTCGATGAACAGAAGGTAGAGATAGCTCCTCACTCAGTGCCTATTTTAGTCTTTCTTAGTGTGCCAAATATTACCACAGAGGTAGAATGTTTAGAATGTTTACCTCCAAGGATTCTTTGCAGCTGGGGTTCTTAAAATAGATTGTTTTCAGATTGGATAAATGTAAACTGTGCAAACTGTGATTTCAGAACACCTAAGTAAGGTAAGAGGTAATACCTGAAGCATCCATTCTAGTTATGCAGAGCGAGACTCTGGGACTGACAGGTGCTGTAACGTCTTACTGATCCAGAGGTAACAGATAAGAAGGTGTGTTCCTTCTGAAAGGTGTGGCAGCAGGTTCTCATTTTTTGTTCCTTTTATTGAAAATAGATTTCCCCTCACATAATATGTCCTGATTACAATTTCTCTTCCCTCCTCAGCTCTCAGTTCCTCCCCACCTCCCCTCTCACCCATGTCCATTCTCACTAGAAAACAAATAGGCTTCTTAGGGATGGTAATAAAATATAATAAGATAAAACAAAAACTTACACATTGGAATTGAACAAAACAAACAAAAGGAAAAGAGCCCAAGAGAAGGCAGAAGAGACAGAGACCCACTTAATTGCATACTCAGAAACCCCATAAAAACACCAAACTGGAAGCCATAATGTATGTGCAAAGGACCCGGTGCAGACCCATGCAGACCCTGTGTGTGCTGCCTCAGTCTCTGTGAGTTCATATGTGCTTTGATCAGGTTGGCTTAGAAGGCCTTGCTTTCTTGGTGTCTTTTATTCCCTCTGGCTCTTACACTCTTTCTGCCTCCTCATCCACAGGGTTCCCTGAGCTCTGAAGAGAGAGATTTGATGGAGAAATCCCCTTTAGGGCGGAGTGTTCCAAGGTCTCTCATTCTCTGCATAATGTCTGGTTGTGGTCTCTGTATTTGTTTCCATCTCCTGCAGGAGGAAGCTCCTCTGGGTTTTTACCGTTCTCTATTTCTGTTTATCTTTTTTTTCCTTCTTATTCTGTGTCTGGCTGTGTGGCTAAGTAGCTGGCCCTGGCATCCTCCTCTCCTTCTTTTTTCACTCCTCCTCCTTTTTGTTCTTTCATTCTATTTATTCTCTCTGCCTGGCAGCCCCGCCAATCACTCTCCTGCCTTAGCTATTAGCCTTTCAACTCTTTATCAGATCAATGAGGCACAGTAACACAGCTTCACAGAGTTAAAGAAATGCAGCATGAAAGAGTGCAACACATCTTTGCATCATTAAACACATGTTCCACAGTAGAAACAAATGTAACACATCTTCAACTAATCTTCCACAGCATGCGGCTATATTCCTAGAGCAGTGCCTTAGACAGCCATCAGCAGAGGAGCTTCCTACATGTTCTGTGATATGTTGCTCTTTTGGAGGGCCCACCACCCAGCTCCCAAATAAATCACACAAGGAGCTTTATTCTTCGTTAGAAATGCTCGGCCTTAGCTTGGCTTTTTTCTGGCCAGCTTTTTTAACTTAAATTATTCCAACTACCTTTTGCCTCTGGGCTTTTTCCTTCTCTTACTTCTGTGTATCTTACTTTCACTCTTACTTCATAGCTGGGCGGCTGGGCGGCTGGGCAGCTGGGCGGCTGGCCCCTAACATCCTCCTCCCTTGGTTCTCTCATTGCACCTCCTTCTTCTCTCTCCCAGATCTCTCCTATTTATGCTCTCTGCCTGCCAGCCCAGCCTACCCTCGCTTCCACCTTGCTATTGGCCATTCAACTCTTTATTAGACCATTATTAGGTGTTTGAGATAGGCAAAGAATCACAGCTTCACAGAGTTAAACAAACAAAAGTAACACATCTTAAAATAACGCTCCCCAGCATTTTCTTTTTTTTAATTTCTAAACAAAACTGAAAAGTTTTAACTTTAACATAGCAAGACTATAAATATACAATACAATAAAATAAAATAAATATAAAATACATTAAATATCCAGTAAAGATTACATTCACGATGTACTGAATTCCAATTCATTTGTGTTTGGTAAATTTAAAGAAAATACTCTATAATCTATCTTATCTTAGTAAATCCAAATTTTATACCTAACTTACTTTTTATCATATCTAAGGAAAACTGCAACTATAACTATCTAGTCTTCAACTCCACCAAAGGTACTAGAAGGATATATTATTGAAGTAAACAAATGTGCATTGCAAACGACTTCCAAAATCTCTAGAAATGACAGAGACATCT